CGCAACTCCGGCATGTCTGGAAGGCCCAGCTGAGCGCCTGGAGTCTAGTGCAGTGTGGTGAGCACAGCAAGGGCCTGGGGTCGCTCAGATTCTGCTCCTAGGGCTGGGTACCTCACTGACCACAGACTCCTCTTCTGTAAAGTGGGTGTGGAGCAACTGCTTGGAAAGGTGTCGTGGGGAATAATCCGAGCCAGCACGTCAGACCACTAAGCATCTTACAGGCATTATCTCACTGGATCTTACAGCAACTCTCTGGGGGAGAGAGCAACATGAACTCTGTCCTACAGAAGAGGAGGCTGAGGCACGGAGCGGCTAAGTACTTGCCCAAGTCATACACCTGCCGAGTGTGGCACAAGACTGAGCCTGTGCCATGGGGCCAGGAAGCATGGAACGAACTAGCATCACGCCTGGCACACAGTAAGGGTTTGTTAGAAACTGTCCAATCCCTTGTTCTCCACTTTTTCTCCTCTGTCCGCAACTTCAAAGTAAGGCATTTCTGAAGGAAGGACAAGCAAGCACCAAGTCCCAGGAAAACATTCTACAACACGGACCAAGCCGTATGCCTAGGCGTGTTCTACTCACACTGAAGGAACAGTCTACTTAGAATTTTCAGCTGGAGTTCTAAAGTCTTCAGAATCTTTTCAGTGATGTTGGATTGAGTCTCTGGATTCTGCCACCAAAACAGTTATTTGGGGGGTACACATCTTAAGATCTCCCCATGTGGCAGGGCAGTGTTTGCACTTTACGGAGGGCTGGGGCTGGGAATTGGGACAATGACACAAACTCTTCAATCCATGGAAGTCTGTGCTCCTGTGGGGTCTTTGGAAAGGGGCCGAACAGACCCAAAAAATTACTGCTTGGGAACCAGGCTCACTGAGTCTCCCCGGGCCTTCTGTTATTCACACATCATGTAAACTTGGTGAGGGCTCAGCTAAAACACAAGGTCCCCAGAAGCTGGCAGGCAGTCTTGGTCAAAACGTGGAGGGAGGGCAGGAAGGGAAAGTGAGGTCACGTCCCAGCAGGTTGGCCAAAGGTCCAGGACCTGGACCAAGCTCTAGCTCTGCTGATGTCAAGCTGGACACCTCTGGGCAAGGTTCCTCCCCCTCAAACTTGGGGTCTCAAGTGTGGCACGACAGGGTAAGTTGGGCATCTCTTGGCTATTTTTTTCTTTGAAGTATAGTTGATTTACAATGTTGTGTTAGTTTCTGGTGTACAGCACAGTGACTCAGTTATACATATGCCCCAAATCCACTGTGGAGAATGAAAAGAAACAACATACTATCTCTATAATATTAATTCATTCGTCTATTCATTCAGCGAAGTTTTACTGATTACTCAGTGTGTACCAGGCTTGGCTAGATGCCAGAGACACAAAATAGTAAGACACCAGGTGCCCTGGAGGGACATGCAAGGTCTAGCTAGGGAGGGCGACTCATATACCCACAGTTCTTAACCAGTGGTTGGGGGGTGGGGGTGCATATATCGGAACCCCAGAATCTCTGGGGAACAGGTTCAAACTCTACCTTTCACCTCCCCTCAGGGATTCTAACAATCTAGCCGGTGATCACTGCCCTGACCAGCCTCTGTTACAGATGAGACAGTGTCACAGCCCACACAGGTGACGAAAAAGAAGAGTTTAGGGACCACTTCTGTATATAATCTTAAAACTTTAAGAATCTTTAAAAAGCTTGGTCGTTAAGAGCTGCAACAAGAAGATGTCTAAGGCAGGGTGTGGGCTCAGGGGTCCAGTTATTACACACGGTCATGCTAACAAACAGAATAAACATCAGGGGCAAAAGTGATGGGGAGAAAACTAAAGCAGGGCAAGGAGATGAGATTTTTCTATGAGTGGAACCAGTTAGTGACTGAACCAGGCCTTGAACCTGAGTTTCTCCCCTCCTGATTCTGCGCACATCCTTTAGGATGGTGCCTTCTAGTGATGGGTTTGTCTTGGTGTGGATGAGATGCATCTGCCTCATCTCCATCAGAGAACTGTTCTGTACCAAACTCCCTGGCCCTTGGGCTTGTCTCAGGGCCAACAGCTCTACCCACCTGGGTCAAAGGCCCCGCGCTGTAATAATGGGGAGAAGGAGCTTTCAGAGTGACTGACGAGAAGCTACCACAGTGCCGGCGGCACAGTGATTAAGAAATGTTTTCTAAAAAAACGAATGAATGGATGAGTCAGGAGAGATACTCAAGGGATCTGCTAATGTAAAACAGTTCGAGAGAGCATGCATTTGTACATCTGCCGAGTGCCTGACAGGGTCCTGTCTCCTGAACTTCAATGAGTGACCGGCCTGTACACGAGTGCCTTTCACTTGACCACTACAGCCCGGCAGAGAGGGACACCAAGCCAGGGATTCAGACGACAGAAAAAAGATTGCGTGCTGAACTCCCACGGGTCCTGATGCCAGTGGAGAATCGGCCCCAGGAAACCATCACCGGTTACAGTCGCTTGCTGAGAAGAGCCTACCTGACAGGTGACGCTGACAAGGGGAAATTACTCAGAAGAAAACTTGCCTCTTGCCTATGTCAACCCTAAATTTGAGCATATCAAAGCCATGCTTGTAGCTTCTTGGCTAATAAAGCCATTTAAAAAATACATTAGAGTCAAATTTCATTTGTCTCATTATTCCTCAGGGAATGACTCACTCCAGATCACAAGATTCCCACACTGTCACTCCTCTAAATCCCAATTCCTTATCTGAAGGCAGAAAGCAGCTTAGTGGTTGCCTAGGACTGGGGAGGGGGTGGGCTGGGAGGGTGATGAGTTAAGGGTGCGGGGTTTCTCTGGGGGATAATGAAAATGTTCTGAACCTGATCATGGAGACAGGTGCACAACTCTGAATATACCGAACACCACTGAATTGTATACTTTAAATGCATGAATTGTGAGGTAGGTGAATTATATCTCAATAAAGCTGTGAAAAAAACTCTTTTATCTCAATTATAATGGAGAGAAATTCTTCCCAGGTATTGCACTAGTGCATTAGTGTATTACCCAGTAATCTTAATGACTTAAGATCACTGCTGCATGCAGTTTTTCATATCTGGCATAACATGGCAATGTTCTCAGTGTCATTAGATACAGGGCAGTTTGCCCTCCAATAAACAGCCCCACATTTTTTCTGCTTACTTAATTTTTTTCTAAAAATGCCCTTTACTTTCACCATTAAGCTCTGTGGTTAGTCTCATATGCCTTGGCCATGTATCACTTACTGACTTACTGGCTGTGTGATCTCTGGTGAGTCATGAGATCACTTGGTGCCTTGGTTTCTCCATTTGTAAAATAACAATACCAACCTCACAGAGGGTGTGGGGACTGAATAAGACAGAGTATAGAAAGCACTTAATGCTGTTGGTGGCGGTGGTAAGCCAGACTGACACTTAGCTACCAACACTATTCTCACTTGTCAGTGTAGCTGCTGGAGCAGCCCTTCCGAGTTACAGACTCAGAAATCAGAAAACCCATATAGTGTGTTCAGTGAGATGTAACAGGGGCTGGGGGTGCAATTTCATGATTAGACTTAGAGAATCCCATGGGATGGCACCGAGCTTCAGTTGCATTACCTAATTTGTCCCAGTTCACCCCTAAACAGAAAAACCTAGGGGCCTAGTGAGGTCACTCAAGATACCCTGGCATCTGGGAGGCTGGTGTCCCAAAGGGACACAGTGGCCCACAACTGGAGGCTCTCTCTAGAACAATGGTTCTGAAAATTCAGAGGTCACAGACACATTTGAGAGTCCAAGGAAAGCTGCAGACATCTTGCCTAGAAAAGTGTGTGTGTGTATACATACAAAACTGTACCATTGTTTATAGGGAAATCCTGAATCCCAGAAGCCAACCATAAACCCCTGGTTAAAAACCCTGTTATAGACTTCATACAGCCTGAGCATCCTCCAGGTTCAGTAGCTCTGGGCCCCAGTGCTCCCACAGCAACTAGAACAGAAGGCCCTCTGACCCAGGCCAGATAAACAGTCCTGGGAGCTGCCTGTCACATCCCAGTCACTGCAAACATCTGCGTCCAGGGGATTCCCAGCGGCACTGAATCACAACAGGACACAGGCCTGGTGGCTTGGGAAGCTACTGTAGGGCAAGGCCCAAAAGCCTTGCTGATAAGCAGCTGGGGAGTTCCAACCCCAGCGCAGCTGCCTGCCAGATGAGATTCTTGTTGTGCCAACAAAGAGGAATCTTAGGAGAGGTGCGAGAGGCAGGCCAGGCCATAAGAGGGAATTTGAAGGAGCTGGGAATCCCCCAAACTCCCAGGACTACCAGGACCTGCACGGAGAAATCAGGGCTGGAGGTTCTGCCCTACGTGCAAGGAGATGGAGCCGGAAGAGGGTGGGCGAGTTGGGGGCAGGGGAGGTGGGTGAACCATGGATCAGAGGCTGTTAAAAATTAGTGACTTATGCCAGAAACATTCAGTACCATAAAAATATGAACACGGACCCTTGGTGGCCAAACTTCCAGACAGGCCATTCATGTTCTATGAATTGCATTTTTCTTCCCACTGGAAGGGACCCGTGTCTCTCCTCACCATCGATCACTGGGCTACACTTGTTTCTTCGGGCTGGGTTTGGCTTGTTTTCACTCCTGCATTACAGTACTAGAATTCCCATAATGCGCCCTGGTCTTTATGAAAATACCTTTACCACAAACAACTGATGGACAGGAAAGCTGGCATCACGCCCAGATTTGCTAATAACTCCTGCGTATGATTCCATCTGCTCAAGTAGATGGCTGATGAAACCCATTCTCTTCCAAGCCATCAGAGGTAAACCGTCTTTCCGATGCTATAAAGAAACAGTGCAAATGGAATCATGATTGAAATTGCAGTGTGAACTGAAAAGGGCCATCTTGCCTCTTTTTCATGGGTCCCAAACTCCTCTCTAATTTCATGTGGAACCTATTTCTTTTCTTTCATCAAACGGAAATAACAGATTTAGGCAAACACTGGTGATGCTATGGTAGAGTGGTATGAACAACGTTGACTACCCACCTGGTTTAGTTTCTTTCTCCTGCTCGCATCTCTTCAGACTTTCCACTGTGGACTAATCAACGTGGAAATTCTAAGGAATCATAAGAAAAACAAAAATTAGAGCCAGACATACTATAGGGCTGTAAACTGAAACAACCTTTTGGGAATATAAGTAAATAGTATCTATTAACATATTAACTGTGCACATCCTTTGGATCAGCCAAAAATCTAGGAGTTTATACTATAAATATGTTCACATAAGTAAAAGATCAGTAAAATATATTGTGTGAAAGCAAAAAAAAAAAAAAAAAGAGGAAACAACTTAAGTGTCTGTTAATAGAAAAAGAGTTAAATTATAGTGTATCAGTATGATAAGAAACCACACAGCCATGACAAAGAATAGGGAGATTTCATTATACTTTCATGGAAAAATGTACATGTTGTTGTTGAAAGGAGTGTAAAATTGTATATGTTATCACTTTTAAGTATTTTATTATCATACTTTAAAAGTATGAACATGACTGTTAATGCTTAGGAAAAATACAGCATTTCTGTACATACACAATTTTTGTATCTACACAGAAGAAGGCAAAGAGCAAACTATAAACAGTGGCCCTTCCTGGAACTCAGAAATTGGGGGAAAGGGAATGAAAGACTTTCACTTTTTACATTAACTATTTTTGTTTTAGCTGAAAACTTTTAAGGAGGCGTACGTAACTTTCATACTCACTGCACACGCCATCTATCTAAAATTCTAAAATATCAAGAGTGAGGGCAAAAGACACTTTCAGGCAAAGATTGAGCAAGTTTACCATTCACAAAGTCCCCAGAACATTCTCCAACAGAAGAGAAACCGCACATAGTAAGTAAGTGAGATTTTTAAAATCAACAGTGAGCAAAATTAGAAAGTATATTAGTGAATTTCAGGAAGTACTGATTGGGCAAAACAAAGCTAAATGAGGAGGTAAAAGCAAATTTGACACTATTACATATTTGACAAAAATAACACTGAAGATATCACTTTATTTTTTGCAGTCAAGTGGAACAGATCTTCCAGCCTATCATATTAAAAGCTAGAAGACAATTTTTTTTAAAGCTTCATGAAAGGGGCAAAAAAGGGCAATTTATTTCCTAAGCATTTATCTTTTATTTTAAAAGGGGAAAAACTTTTTTCACTTAAAAAAAAAAAAGTCCCCATTTAAAATCCAAAAGCAAGCCTAAAGCTTTGGCCTAAAACCGCCCTCGTTAGGTGCTGTGTGGGCTGGTTCTGCGCTGCTGTTTTCTGTGGCTCTGTGCCCTTGACTGCCTTCCTCCTCCAATCCAATTAAATACACTCCCAGGCGTCTATGTCTGCTGGGAACCAAAGCCCAGCAAACCGCAGCATCTCCCCTCACAAGGCTCTTGGCCTCCAAGTGGATGCTCTGGCTTCTATACCAAATGGGTCCTGGAATCTGGAGGAGTGAAACGGATTGTTTTGTAAACTATTCTGATGGAAGGAGAAAGGAGAGGAAATGGTTTGTCCCATTGGATGAAATGAAAGAGAAAAGAGGAATAGCGTTCACAGCAAGCTCCTAGAGAGCCAGCCACGCTAAATCCGCGTCTCAGGGCTACAGGGAAGGTTTGCTCTGCCCTTCCCGGGTGGAAGGCTTTATGTTTAACTTCTGTTATTTTATTTCATTGAAATAATAATGATACCTATGTCTACAGCACTTCATATTTTACCACTTTAAGATGCCTTATATTCTTTGATCTTCACAATGACCCTGGGATCCGAACAGCATCACTCCCATTTACAGAAGAAAACGAGGCCCAGAGAAGTTAAGGTCACATAACAAGTTGGTAACAGTTGCAATACAAACTCGGGTCTCCAAACCCCAAGTCCAGTAGGGAGCTCAGGTTTGAAATCACAGAGAGAAAGGGGGAACTAGAGACAAGCCAACAAATAAAAACAGGCTCTTGGGAGTAACAGAGTCCTCCTGCCCCTTATGAAAAAAATTATAGAGTAGGAGGACTGTTCTGTGCTGCCTCAGAGAGAAACTGCTCACATACTGGAATACAGCTGCTGAGTAAGGGAAGAAAATTCCCCTGTATCACCAGGCCCCTCCCTCATTTTCTTAACCTTCCTCTGATCCTAACCTTCCCTCACTTCTCTCTTCCTTTCCCCTCTGTGCTTTTAATCACACTGGCATCCCTTCAGCTTCTTCAACATCCCACACGCTCTCCCGCCTTGGGCCTTTCACATGTGTGCCTCTCTCAACTGGGAGTATTCTTTCCCGTCCCTCCACACCCCGCTCCCCCTGAAACCCACCTCAGCTCTTGGCACAACTGACTCCTCATCTTGGTTTAAACAGCACCTCTTCAAGCCAACCTGTCCTGATCATGCTCTCCTCTGCATCCATCATGCACCCTCTTTGTTTTGTAACACCACTATCAGTCCTTGTAAGTAAGCACCATGTGAGGAAGGACCATGCCTGTTTTTTGAAATAGGTTATTGCAAGGTATTGAATATAGTGTCCTGTGCTATATACAGTAGGACCTTGTTGTTTATCTATTTTGAACCATGCTAGTTTTATGTAGCACTGTCCACTTATCACCTTGCCCAGTGCCTGGCAGATATCAGCAACTCAATGAATATTGGCTGAATACATGAAAAATTTATTGAAGGCTTGGCTCAAATGCTACTGTTTCTCCACTTTCTCAGGCTTTCCACAGCTCTGTCCCTCTCTTGGGGCACATAATCACATGTGTTAGAGTCATTGAGTCTTTTTTCCATCAGGCTGCGAGCTACTTATAATCCTTAGTTACCTTGGTATTCCCCATAGCACCATGCATAATGCTAAACACATAAAGTGTTCTTAACCGCAGATGAATTCACACATACATTCAGGAAAATACAGTGAAGCTGCAGCCCCTGACCAACCACAACAGTGGCTTCTCCCACCCAGGGGACCACAACACAGAACTCAAGCACCTTTGAGACATGTAAATAGGGACTCTGCCCAGGGAGAAATTAAAACGAGCTAAACTCAAGATGCAGAGTGTATAGGTAAGGGGATGGGGGGAGGTGAATAGCAGGATTGCTAATGGGAGCTTACATAGGCAGAAACTTTCTGGGGGCAAACTGGAGATGTGTATCAGAGATCTACAAAAGATTATGCCCTTTGACCTCGCCACGCCTTATTAAAAAAATTAGAGCAGTGAAATCACTGGATGATGATTTAAGTACGTTTTTCTGTACTGTCTAGCTTTTCCTTCCATGAATACGTTCTAATTTTGTAATCTGAAAAAATAAAGGCATAATGTTATAAAAAAACAAACCAACAACCAAATCTAGTGATTTCAGACTATAAAATCACCCATCCCTATGATTCCTTACTAAACGTGGGTTAGCAGATTCAGGGTCTCTAAGGTGGGGCCCGCTACATCTTGCGAAGAGTTCCTTCCTTTCTTTCATCTGAAGCCCTGGGGGATAGGGAGGTGCTGGAAGTGACAACTTTGGCAGGAGAAGGTCTCATTGCTCCCTAATGCAAATGCTGGCAAAGCTCTGAGAGTCAGGAGATGGAGGGGAAGTGCGTGAGTGATCAACACAGCTCAAGATCAGGACCTCCATCCACCTGATGGTGATCTACTGTAATTATTCGCTCACCTGCCCGTCGTCCTCCATGCACTGAGAACCGCACTGGCGCCTTGCGCTTAGTACCCATCAGCGCTCAGCACGGTTTAGTGAATGCCCGAGACCACAACTAGAAAGTGCTTAACATGATAAATGACCTAGGTCCTGGGACATAATAGAGCACATTAGCAATCAAATATTTCATTTCTTTAGTGCCCTGAAGGTCCATTATTCAGTTCAGAAAAGCCAAGTTGAAGACCAGCAATTTCTTGGAAGATTAGAGACTTCTCTTAAAGTTAGGAAATGCTGGCTTCCTCCAGCAGGAGCGGATGCATTTTCATCTGTGATTCGGAATCACTTAGCGTTGCAGTGACTGCAACTTCCAAAGAAACCATTCCTTAAAGAGCAGCACTCAGTTTTCATAAGGCACTTCTGAAAGATTTCCAGGAAGTAGTGAGCTCAGCCTTGGGTTGTGATTAATGACTTGTTTCCCAGAACTTTAGATTTTCCATGTCTGTATCCACTTAGGAATCACTTCTGGCCCCTTGTGAGTGACTCGGCAGAGTTAATTGGGCGAGCTCAGCTTCTGGTCACACTCAGGAAGTAACACCTGCCACCAGCTCTTTCTTTAAGCAGCTGGACCAGGGATTTCTGGTCCCAGGAGAACAGCACCCACTTCAGCTTTTGGCCTCAGCACTTCACACAAACGCCATCCTATGACTGAGGAGGCAGGTGCCTGTGTTCACTGGTGAACATTCTCTTTCTGGAAACCATAAAGCAGCTAATTCTGAGCACACATTTTTTTGTGCCAATAAGTGCGATACAAGCTTTCTCCTGCTCTGTCCTCATGGAACCCCTTGGAGGTAGGTGTAACTGTGACCCCCACTTTCAGAAGAGAAGTGCACTCTGTCGGGGGAGGGAGTCTGTCCGAGGTGGCTCCACTTCTCATCCAACCCCAGACTACCTAAAATGACAAGTGCTGTGGACACCAGCCACCCAGGGGGCACAAATGCAAGTGCTCACAGGGGCCAAGAGCAGGCAGGAGACTAGAGAGTGAGACAGACTGGGCAGGGAAACAGCGCAGATGGTAATAAACTGGAGAGCAAGTCGCCTAAAGGAATTCACAGTCAAACAAAAATAAACATCAAAACTGGTACCTTCTTTCCAGAATATCACTTCCTCACCACCATCTGAGGAAGAGGAACAATTCCTTTAATCAGCCAAGGTCTCAAGACCCTGGGGCCTTGGGACCCTGGATGAGGCAGGGGCAGAGGCCTGGGCCCTTCCACTGCCCACGCCCAGGGGTGGCAGCCAACGGTCCACCTTCAAAGGGCTCAGCTGCTCAGGAGATACGCCGCAGCTCTCACATATGCCGAGGGGTGATATTAATCCAAACAGTTTTAAATACTGCATCTTCCTGAGGGTTAGGATCTCTGGTGGCCTTAAAGATAAAAATCCCTTAAACTGCCAAGACCCGGAACCTTGGAAACTCGAAGTCCAAGATCTGACAACCTCCTTTGCTTTTCTTTGTACTTTGGCTCTGGCCATCGTTTCCTTGCAGGCGTGGAGGCCGTGTCTGGCTGAAAGAGGAGGGGAGGGGAGGCAAGTAAAGGCTAGTCCTTTCCTGTTCTCCCTCTCTTTTGCCAATCGAGGAAGTAGGACAGTGGGCTTTAGGTTAAAACTGAGTACGAAGTGTCTCCTCTGTGCCTATGTGCCAAGCTTTATACTAGGCAATGGGGTACAGAGACAGAGGAGACAGGCTCACAAGAGAGGGTGTACATGGTCTAGCGGGAACACAGTGAGAAGTTAACAGCAATAATTATGTACACACAGCTCAGGTAAAGCGAGGAAGGAGTTCAGCAGAGTATGGGAACAGGCGCTGAGATCCGCCCTGTCAGTGGAGTTAGGGAATAATGGTGTTGACTGCCTTGCACAGCATGGGGCCGGGCACTTACCAGGTGCTCAAGACCCTGAGTTTTTTTTCTCCTCCCTCCCCAATGTGTGCGGTGCACACTGCACACTGAGACTTTCTCCTTCTTCAGGAACACCAACCTGATAAAAAGTTAAACTCAGAAGTAACGTAATGTTGCCTGGTTTGTGCCCTCCTGCAGTCCTCCTAGAGGCACCAGCTTTCAGCCACTCTGGATACTGAAAACCAAGGGCACTTTGCTCCTCAAGCCCAAGGTTCTCCTCAAAGGGGAAAGAGATTTGGGTGGTTCATTTCAAGCTGAATTTGGAAACAAGAGTTGACCCCTGAGCAGCATGGGGGTGAGGGATACAATTCTCCATGCACTCAAAAATCCACACATTACTAGTGGACCCGCCACATCTGTATTCACTGATTCGGTCAACCATATATCGCGTATTCCATTGTATGTATTTGTTGGAAAAAATCTGCAAGGCCGTGGACCCACTCGGTTTAAAGCCGTGTTATTCAAGGCCCAACTCTACAGCGATCATCTAGTTTTGCCCCCTCAATTAGGCACAAATGAGGAAACTGCGGCCCAGAGAGTGAAACACCTGCCTGGGGTCACACGGTTTCCTTGGGCAGTCATTCTAATATATGGCAGCTCTTTGTTTTTTTAAAGCTGAAGGTTTTCTTCTTTAATTGCGGTTTTTCAATGATCTGTACCTGTTAGGGGTGTAGGTGGGTCATGCACAGCACCTGCAAGCCTTGTACCTCAAGCCATCTGAGAACCATCAGCTCAGTTTCCACGGGTCTAGGGGTCCCCTCCCTTCCTCTCTGTACAGAGGGGCTCCCTCAGTTTAAAATCCTGCAAACACAACCCAACAAATAAAACACCCAAGGACTTAACAGGCTCTGTTTGTTTTCTAGGAATTAACAACACATTTTTAAAAGGAAGCAATAAAAAGATCAGAGAGCCAAAGTTAAAGATTTCCATCTTGGAGTTTCCTACTCAGGCACTGGCATCGAGGCACATGTGACGTGCTAACTTCATGAAACCTAATCATATCTGTATCTAAAATTTAAAAAAAAAATCAGTGTTATATTCACGAGGGGAAGATTATAAGGAACTTTCAATTTCAGAGACATTTCTCCCTGGAATGTTTAAAGGTTTTTGTATCACTTTTATAATTAGAAAAATAAATTAATAAAGGTTTACAAACACCAGTTTCTAAGGGAGGATTTATTTCCTCACCTACATTTGGGAAAAGGAGCTGCTTTTAGAGCTCCAGATACCCTGTCAACATACTTCGGGTAACAAAGTAAAACAGCATTTGACTGGAGCCCATCTGTGAGCCTTGAGGTTCAGACTCTAGCCCTAGGCAGTTTCAGACAAAGCCATAATTTTCAGAGCAATAATATATCATAATATAAAAATAGACACTTTGTGACCAACAGGCTGGAAAGCAAGCTCTCCAGAGAGCCCTGCCTCTGAGCCAGCTTCTCCCTGGGGGTGGGGGCAGCAGCGGAGAAGAAAGTTCTACTTACAAGACTGGAGAGTTCTTCAAAGTCCAGCGGTCCTCAGCAGAAAGGAAGGTCACGTTTAAGAAAGCAGGTTTCAAAACGCCTCCCTTCTGAGGGTAAGCAAGATTAGCAGACGGGCCAGCGGGTGCAGGCAGAATCTCTCGTGCCCTCTCTCTCTTCCTGTCTCTCTCCTAAATGAAATGCACTTCGAGGTTTTAGTGGGTGTTTCCCACGTCTCAGGCCAAGTAAGTCCCCATTTGTTGTAACCCAATGCTCAGCCTGATGATGTCAACCACTCAGCTCCTTTGCTCAGTTTCCACCTCTCCGTCCACGGGAGAGATCCATTTCCTCTGGACAATGCGCTGGGGGGGGGGGCTGTAACTGCATCCCAGGCCATCACGTTTGCCTAACATCCTTCCTTCCATTTTTAACACTGCAGCCTTAGTGACAAAAGGCTTCCTATCCGCCCACTGGGCCAGGGCTCCTGGTCTAAGTCCCTTTGCCTCTTAGTCACTGCTTACTGCGGGCTTATCTAGTTTGCTGTGCTGTGGTCTAATTCATGTCTTTGATACATAAAACACTAGCTGGGGTGGAGAGCAATACCCCAACTCCACCCCACCCCCGTCTCTTTCTTCCTGCACAATTTTCCAAGTTATTTAATTTCTCCCTAAAGTTTCCGAGGTGTACAAATTTGTCCTTCACTTGGGGAGATGTCACGTACCCATGTGAAAGGCTGAGAAAGACTGCTGGTCCGCTGCCTGGGGAACTGGGTTCTGGTCCCAGTCACACTCCTAACTGAATGAATGGCCGCAAGCAACTCTCCTCTCTCCCTGGACCTCAGTTTCCCATCAATAAAATGAGGGCTTTGGTGTCTTCTAAAATTCAGTGACGGAGGAGCTTATCAACAAATTCAATGTAAGGACTTTTCCTACAAGCCAGCTGACTGCACGCCTGAAGGAGGGAGGGAAGAGCCCTGGAGGGGTTGGAGGCCACTGTTCAAGATGCCAGGCTCAGCTCAGGCTCCTTCAACCCCCTTTCTGGTGGAGCTGAACTGTTCCTCTGGGATAAAACCCCCAAGAATTCACTGAACACATCCTGGGGGACATGGAAAGAGGAAGCATAAACTACTAGATAAGATAAAGCAAGAGAAATTGACTGTCCTAAGGGACTAACACAGAACCGCAGTGGTTACAAGACAAGCATCCGTCTCCTGCACTTGTAGAGTGTTTGATAGGGAGGACACCCGAAGCCTTTCTGCTTCTGAGCACGGTGGGAAGCAATGTGACAAGTGCAGTGATTATGAGCATCGACTTGGGAGCCAGAGATGTAGATCTGAATCCTGTGTGACTTAACTTCTCTTAACTTCGTGTTTTTTGTTTTTTTTAACTGAAAAATAGGATACTAGGACTTCCATTTTAGGACAGTGAGAATTAAATAATACATGTAAGGAAACTCAAAGTATTTGGCACATGAGTGATGTTAGATGGTAGCTCTCACTGTTGTACCTAATCTCCTTTGATTCTCATTTTAGGAGAACTAGGTACCCAGGAGCTGCATTATTAATCTCCTTTTCCTGGATAAGAAAATGAAACACAGAGAAGTTAAGTGACATACCCAAGGTCACACAGCTCAAGATGAAAGAGCTGGATTTGGACACTGAGTCTTTTAATTCCGACTTAGGCCAGCAGACATGCCACACAACTGCCAATGCGACTTCTCAAAATGGTTACTCCACTGAGCCTGGCCTTTATTTCTAAAGTGGGATCATCTTCACTTAGGAAACAAGCTAAACTTATTAAAACAAGTGGGGAAGGGGTGGGTGGAAGAGTTTTCCTAGGTTCAACCAGGCCTGGGATGGGGAAAGGCAGTCAATCTGTTGCCCACAGGAAACACTTCTGGCCACTAGGTAAGAGGGGTGCTTACTTGCTTTCCTATCAAAATCCTGTGTGGCCTGAGCAAGTCTGGGCTTCAATCGCCCCTCCCTTCAAACAGGCAGATCTGATTTGCCTTAAAGCAACACAGGACTTAGAGCTCTGCTGGGAAAGAAGCTATTTATAGGTGGGGGGTAAGGCTGTGGTAGTTCGTGACTTAACAAGAATTTTAATTAGTTCTCAGAAAACTCTGATGTTAATCAGAAAAGGTTGAAGCAAACAGGCCATGTCTTAGGAGGGAGTTTGCCATCCTGAAGGCTCTCCCACAAGCTGGTGTGGGACTGTAGTGGATAGAAAGAACACTGGCCTGGTCACCCATGGAGAGCAGCAGTCAACAGCCTGAAAGACCTATTCCTTCCTGTCCCTAGACCTTCTACCTGCACAGGACCCTGGGCAAGGTAACAACTTTGTGCCTTGGTTTCCCAACGCAAAATGTGAATAATACACCATTCACCCTTCAAGGTTCGTGTGTGGATTAAGTGCCTGCCACACACTGCAAGTTAAAAAATACTTGCAAAAATCAGCTGTGACATCTTAAGACATTATTTTCTAATTCTGACTCAGTGTCATCACCCTGTGTCCTGAGGATGATGTGACAATGAATGAATAAGGTTAAGAATGTCGGGAAGCTGGAAGGGCCCGTGTTTCTCTAGAGCGTCAGGGTGAGTAAGGAACAAAGTCTCTGAGCTGTCAGGCGCCTGGGGGCGGGGCGCTGTCTGGCTGAGCCTTTATTCCTGAAGTCCCAGTGGGTGTCAGAAAACAAAGCCCGGCTCTTGACAGGTCAGTTACTGACATCACCCTCAGTGCTCTGAAGCCAGTTTTGTTACTTACACAAAACTACTAGGAAGGAGCCCATTCATAAAAACAAAGGTAGCTGTTCCTTCCACAATGCATAGTTTGCAACACTTGCCCTGCAGACTAACTGTCCAATTGTGACAGAAGCCACGAAGAGGGACCGTGACACCAGCACACTCATTCTTTCCCCGCACTGACCGTGGGAGATGGTACACTGCGGACAGGGCCACGCTCGGTGCTGTAAACACCGCTGTGCGTCATCCTCACACGGACGGGCTACAGGATGTGTCACTCGTGTCCTCCTCCTTCGGTTGTGGAAAGCGATGCAGGCAGAGGCTGACGGGCCTGCTCAAAGGGTCCCCGGGGTAAAGGACGGAGCCTGTGCTCCAAGGCCGGGCTGTCTGGGGCCAGGCCTGTCCTCTTAGGTCCCTGACTCTACTGCCTTTGAAATGTTTCCCTGCAGGAAACCTGTCAGTTCCTCACAGCCAGCACAACCGGAGCACAGGGCTGGGCGGAAGGGCTCAGACAGCCCCTTTGCCACAAAGCTGCCTTTAATTTCCACCCTCTCATCCCCAGGCTGGAAGGGGGCCCTCCCTCTGAATGTCCTTAGTACTTTATCTATTTCTCTCTTAAGAAATTTATCCTTTTCTCCTTTGAGGCATATTTATTTCTGGGCTGATCTTATTCTGCTGCTAGAAATTGAGCTTCTTAAGGAAAAGATCTGGGTCTAATTCATAAGCATTTTGTATATATTATGAGATATTCATTAAAATAAGGAAATCCATAAGTAACAAAAACTTGTACTGAATTTTTATCATATGCCAGATAATATTCTAACTGCTCTACATAAATTACCTCATTTAATCTCAGCAAGGATCCTATGAGGTAGGTATATTTATTATCCCTGCTTGACATACGAGGAAATTGCAGAAACAGATCAACTGAGTAACTTGTTCAGCTGGTAACTAACAGACATCTGTTGAAAGGAGTGTATGAATGAATAAATTCTGCCCACCATTACCCAACTTTTAGTCTGAATACCTGCTGTAAAATGCAATTAATTTTTCACCCTATCAAAGGTGGGTTTCAGCTGTCACGCTATTTCAAACTCACTTATTCCCTATGTCACACGGCTGGATGCTCCCCATTTTTCTTAGCCATAACTAACTGAGAAACATATGGACTGAGACTTAATCAAAGCAGATTTTTTTCTTTCCAATTAGAATCATATTTGCTTATGGTAAAAAATAGGAACATAGAAAAGAGCAGGAAAAAAGGAAGGGAAGTCATCCATCTCTTACCACCAGAAACAACCCATTAACCAACTGGGGTGTGGAGATAATCAACCTTACAAAGGATGACAAAGAAATGTTTGATGTATTTTTTTGGTTTTGGAGTACACCTGGTGTTTTCTCTACAGAGTTTAATGTTCTGAGGCTCCACCCCCTGGACTGCTGCCTATGGGGTGTGCACTGTGCCCGCTGGAGAGCTGGCAGGGGGATGGGAAACCTGATTCCAGTGAGTGTGCACCTGCGAAGAGGGTAGGCTCTCAGAATACTGCTCAGCCCCTCCCTTTCCCAGCCTTCTTTACACCTGATATCCAACAGCAACGGACAGGTATTAGATTGGGGCAGTAATGGAAAGACAGATCTCTTGAGTTAATTTTAAATAATCTTAGATTTGATTTTTACAGCTGAAAAGAGCATGTGGTCTCATTTTTGAGATGAGAAATGCCCAGCCCCAGAAGGCAGGGGATTCCCTGAAGCTGCACAGCCTGGTGCTCTAGCAGTAGGAAGACCTGGTTTAAGACTCTCTTGACACTGCACTTTGAAATACAAATCTAACTGGCTCCTCCCTCTTGGTTTGGTTAACTCCTACTGGACCATCAGATGGCCATAATAAGGTCTTCCTTGTGGAGGCCTTCCCCGAGCTAAGTTAGTTCCCCCAGGTGTAGGCTTCCAAGGCACCCTCTGTCTCTCCTCTCATGACCCCTAACATATGTTATTGTAAGTACATGTTATACGTACCATAGGCTCTGTGAGATCAACATGTCTCCCTTGTTCACTGGTACAAAGCAGGAAATTCAACAAATATTTTCTAAACACACACATACCCTGGACAGTCCAGGCTTGAGGTAAAGTAATTTTTGCTTTAAAAAAGTATCATGTCTTCTAAACTACAAATCGGGCTTTCCCCCTTGGCGAGGTAAGATCATTAGAGAACAAGAACATTGGATTTCACTCCGAATAATTTCTGAAAATGTTCAGAGTAGCGTGACGACAGACAGCAGGTGAAGTCCAGAGCACAGGGACAGGAAAGCACCAGTAGAAATGTGGAAGCCCAGGGAGGCTCTGAGCTGGGAGACGGCAAGCATCAAGAGGATCTAGGAAGAGGGCTGAAATTAGGGGACCCACCGAACGTCCTGTGTCCATCAGCTGCCCACCCCATGCCTACAGCACATGGGGGGTCGGGAACCTCTGCAGAACCCCAGGCAGACAGGAGAGGGGTC